TCCTCCTCGCCCCTCTGCCCGGCCTACCGCAAGGAGGTGGTGGGCATGGTGGACGACCGAGTGTGCAAGAAGTGCCCGCCGCAGCGCCTCAGCCGCTTCCAGGAGGAGTGCCACAAGTACCGCACGCTGGTCATCAAGGGCGTCCGCGTCTTCGACCTGGCTGTCCTCGCCCCGCTCATGCGGGACCCGACCCTGGACCTCAAAGTCATCCACCTGGTGCGGGTCCCCCGGGCCGTCGCCAGCTCCCGTTTTGGCACGGCCTCATCCGGGAGAGCCTGCAGGTGGTGAGGAGCAGGGACCCCCGCATCCATCGCATGCCCTTCCTCGATGCCGGCCACAAGCTGGGCGGGAAGAAGGAGGGGGGGGGTGGTTCGGACTACCATGCACTGGGTGCCATGGAGGTCATCTGCAGCAGCATGGCCAAGACCCTGCAGACCGCCCTGCACCCCCCTGACTGGCTGCAGGGCAACTACATGGCCGTGCGCTATGAGGACCTGGTGGTCGAGCCCATCAAGACCCTGCGGCAGGTGTACGGCTTCGTCAACTTGTCGGTCAGCCCGGAGATGGAGAAGTTCGCCCTCAACATGACCAGCGGCCCCGGCTACTCCTCCAAGCCCTTCGTGGTGTCGGCCAGGAACGCCACCCAGGCGCTGAGCGCCTGGAGGACTGCGCTCAGCTACCAGCAGATCAAGCAGGTCGAGGAGTACTGCCACCAGCCCATGGCCCTGCTGGGCTACGAGAGGGTCGGCAGCCCCGACGAGGTGAAGGACCTCAAAAGGTAACATACATTAATGTGATGGTTTCTTTTTTTCTTTTTTTTTGTTGTTTGTTTGCCCCCCCCGCCTCCCCCCCCTTACATTGGCTTAGATGCGATTTAAAAAATAAATTAAAAAAATAAAGTGGAACTGGAAATATGTGTGAAGCCCCTTTGCCCTTCTCTAAAACGCCAGGCAGTGGTTCTGTACCAAAATCTTTTTCATGGAGTTCTTGTGGTTTTGAAGATGTTAACAAAAACTCTTGCACAATTCCTGACACATCTTTATCTGCCTTGGTGCGGAGGGAATGCCCTTGGAAAGCGTGAGGGTGGAAATCAGACTTTTGTGTGAATGCAGATGTTCAGACATGATAGTAATAAAAAAAAAAACAATAAATGATATTCATTTTTATAATTACCTCAATTGTTTGGGAACTACAGTGTTACTTACGTACAGCTGGAGGGGATGCTTGCTTAAAATAGCAACATGGACTTGTGTTTTTTTAAGGGTATGGGTGGAGGGCTGGAGTGCAACATTTGGCGTGTTTAAAGATGAGGAGCTGCTCCCAGAAACAAGTCCAGATCTCACCAATGTAGCGCAGGCTTTATGGCTGTGTCCAAGCAGGTTTCCGTTTAACTACTGTCTTTTCTGTTGTATTTGAAAAGTCTTTCAAGTGCCACTGTGTTAGTGTCCTGAGAGAGTTTTAAAATGTTTGCCATCACAACAGTATTTATTTTTGTCTTGACATGTATGTCCAGGAGTCACTGTCAATTAGAAGTGGATCTACAGTGTGACAAGAAGTGCAGGGTTTAAAAAGACATATCTCATACTGGAAACATTAGCATGTGTGAAAACAAAAATAAAATTATATATATTATATATATTATATACTGCTGACAATGCATAAGATATTTAAGATTATTTCTTGATGTTGATTGGTAACGGGCATAACAGGGAAGCATAGCAAAATGCATTAAATGATTTATTTTTCCCCTTTGTCTAAGTGTCGGAGGGTGTATTTATGTACAAGGAGGGAGGAAACGTACAGCTGTGTGTTCATAGCTGCAATGGAGCTTTTATGGCGTCAACCTAGCGTTTGATTTCAGAGCGCTGGTTAGATATGCGTTTGTTGTGAATTGTTGTTGCTCTCTGATGGAGCCAGATGGTGGTCTGGCTCTTTCTGGGAGCTTTGCCTAGAGACTCTGTCCCATCGTTTGAACTTGATAAAAAGAAAAAAAAAGATGAGATTTTACTACTACTGCTTTTAGAATTTCCTGAAAAAGTCCCGGTTTATTAAAGGTTAAGTGGTGTGTGGCATACGAGAAGTGCAGACACCTCAAGTAGTTTTCAGTCTTGGTGTTGTTGTCTGATGCTCTTTGAAGGCTCATTTTGGAACTTGAGTTTTTAAACAGAAGTGTTTTTGCCACACGGTTCTCTCAGGAGACTATAGATTTTTCTACAGGAAGTACATTTTACATTGCCTATCTGGATGTTGTGCCTTCGGCAAACGTGAAGAGTATAAAAGCAGGAAAAAGGAAACTGATTTGTGAAAATAAATTTATATAAACAGGATGCTGATAAGTGTGTGTGTGTATGTGTGAAAATTTTAGTGATGTGTAATATGTCTATTTCTTGTGTTAGTACTTTCAAGCTAAACAGGTGATAACTGACTGCTGAGCTATTTGAGTTCTGATGAAATTTTGGCATTAGATGTTGAATTTATTCTGAAAAGGAAACACATCTAATAAAATAGTTAAAAGATCATTGTAGAAGGTTGGCTATACACTTGCTGCATGACTGCATTGCACATGGCCATTCCCTCAGTTCATCATCACTATCGGCACAAACAACAGTAATAATATCTGTCAATGGGAGATCTTACAACTGGCCTGTTAGGCTATATTCCCATATTCCGGATAGCAGTGCTTAAAGTGGGAGGGACAGTTAATTTGGTATTTAAAATATGTATTAAGGTACTTGCGTTTTTGTGGAATGAGGTATTTTGTGCTATCGCTGGACGTATTCTGATGCAGTGCTGAGTGAATTTCGGACGTCTGGGTTTGCACTGTACCCCGTGAGGGTTTTTTTTGTTTGTTTTTTTGTTTTTTGTTTTTTTTTCTGTCAGCGTGTCCTGGGGCAGTGCTTGAAAATCCGATGTGCTTACAGAGCAGGTCGCTTGCTTTTTATCCATCCACTGCTTCGCCAAGCACCCCTGCTCCCCACCGCACCGTGCTACCTGGCTGCCTCCTGGCAGCTGGCGCTGCTGTCGGGCGGGG